CTCTCTCTCTCTCTCTCTCTCTCTCTCTCTCTCTCTCTCTCTCTCTCTCTCTCTATCTCTCTCTCTCTCTCTCTCTGTCTCTCTCGGATTATATATAGTTCATATTTTCCCTTATCTCCTATATATACAGATGGCCTTCCTCGAGGCAAACGGAAACTACGGTGACAATATCGACGACACCATCGACGACGAAATCTACAGTTGCTTTTGTCGTTCAAGACATTAGCGCATTTTTACCGCCAGGATACAAGCTGAAGAAAGCAGATACAGCTGTTACGGAGAGTTCCGTCCTGAACGATATTCTCGCCAAGTCCAAGGTCGACATCTCCTCCCTCTTGCCTGCCAACTATGACAAGCGCAAAATTCAGGCGGAGCAAGACACTAAGTTGGAGAGTACCACAATGACGACGACTACAACGGCAAAAAGTAACACTTCCTTGGAGAAGGTTGCCTTGTCCATCCAAGATCTCTTCGCATCTTCCAAAGTTGACATCTCCGCTTTGTTACCAAAGGATTACAAGGTTGAAAAGAAAACAGCGCCCACTTTAGATGGTAAAGCTAGCAGCATCGAGCGAAATACGACGGAACGGACCGACGTAGACTCGCCTACTACGAAGAAAACCAGTGGCTTAAAGATTGTATTTCCTAGCAGACCAGGTGGTCGTAAACCGATCCACAAAATAACCACCCCGCAGACTCCGCGCGGAGATGGTCCAGGTGCAGTGACGCCAAAAATACAAAAGGGATGGCCGATTAGGTAAATGAGCCAATTAGATACAACCGACAGAGTCGAATTCGTACAGTTCTTAATTTGTACTCTCGATGAAATCTCAGAGCTACCACAGAGTTCACTGGGTGGCCGACTCCATCCACTACACCGATCTCTATCGAAAAGTTGCTGGAAGCTGCACGGACAGCTACGGTAACGTCCGCGAACGTGTCACTTATTCCCAGCACGAATGAGATCTCGAGCACATCGTCCACGTCGTCGACGACAACGACGACACCAAGACCAACGACTCCTGGCATGTGCGACGAGGAATGTGAAGTGGCGGGCACGATACGTATTATCGGGAATGCCACATGGCTACCGGAATTATTGGATCGAAATACTCGCGAGTGGCAGGAGCTCGCGAACCAAGTGGAACGAGAGGTATTGTGCGCAATAGCAAACTCTAGTCGTTCTCTACTCTTTTGTAATTCCTAATATATCGCTCATTCTCTTCTCTTCAGATGAACTTTATATTCTCGAAATCGACCGTTTTAACAAAATGGTACAAAAATATAAGAATCGACTCCTTCAGGTAATCACAATTTATTTGTAGACATAACAGCGCTAAGCGATCGAACGAATCATATAGTTATCGGCGAGTCATATATTTTAAACATATCATTGCTCTGAATATTCAAAATGTCTCAAAGTGTCCAATTTCGTGTTGCTCATTTGGTATCAATGTGTAATGGTCGTTTTCAGTCAAGGTAGCATCCTGGTAGACTACTTTGTCGAATTAGCCAACTTACAGCAAAAAGTCAACACGCAAGAGCTGAAAGTCATTTTCCACGATTCGCTCAGAACGTACAATAGCAATCGGTGGAACGAGACGAGCACAAAGGGCGCGTTACGGATGGGAGTCTTCACTATCGATCCTAAATACACAGATTTCGTAGGTACGTCAATTCGTTCGACTACTTGGCTGAACGATTCTCATGACCATGTCATTTTTCACAGTAATACCTAAAGTGAACACGCCGCAGTACATCGAAAAAGATGATAGGTTGATACCTCAATGGGCCATTGCAGTAATAGTGATAGGTGTTGGAGGTTTATTATTCATCATCGTGTTTGGTGTGTCTGTGGTGAGTGTCCAAAGTGTCTCGTTCTTTGTGCGCATCTCTCTCTCTCAGTTCCTTATACGTATGTTAAGAACGGAAACAGTAAACGACGTTATTTATCAGCTCGTCAATAGACAAAATGGCGCGAAACTGAAACCAGCCATGTCCACGATTTACGAAGAGGAAGTAGCTAAACACACATCCAGCCACAGATCAAACGATTACTCGAAACCAGTACACACGATATGGACCGATCCCGATGTCTCTTGGAATGATAAATCGTTCGAGTCTACATCTAACAAGGTAAATCCTTCTCGCTCGCGCAAATATCATTACGGACCAGCTGCTAGAACTTAGCCAGCAGCTGTCAATCACAAGATAGATAGACCTGTTTGAGCATTTTCAGATCTTGGTTGACAAGCCTTTCCAGGATGGTAAAAAGTATAATTTATACGATAGTTGGCGATCCGAATGGAATGGTTATTATTACAATCCATCGCACACCAGCAGCAAATATGGCGGTTACGACAGTACCACAAACTTGTCGAGCCGTCACCATCCCGATTACGACACAAACTTCTAAATTTCACAACAATAAACTGCAATTTTTCCAACCAATACCAATTTTACTTCTTTTATTCGGCACCTTAAGTAAACATAGATAAGGATATCAATGATATTCTCTGCTTCTAACAACTCGCGTTGTTATGTTCCGACATGGAATTATCGTTAGCGCATCTTCGCGTAGAGAGCGTTTTAAATTTCATCCATTTCTTATTCTATATCTTACTTTTCTATCCTGTGTTCGTGGTACTTTGCAACTTGTTGTAAAATTTATTTGCCCATTTCTTTCTTGTTATTCTCTCTATCTCACTTTAATCTAAGAAATTTATTCGTTCCAGTCAGAGTAAATAGTCGATCATATTTTACGAAAACAATATCACTAGTATGTGTATTACCCATGTACTTGTCACGATACACATGTATAATCGCGTCTGTGTGAAAGAGAATTAAGCAAAATGGAAATATATCGGTTACACCGATAATAAAATAACCCCTCTACTTTACAGATCAAGCGGTGGGACGAATCTAATAAGTCGAACAAATTATCCGAACTGTCATTCATCGTCAAATATTGTTTCTTTTTACAATCACTCACACATTCCCTCGATTTCACATACAAAAATATATAAAACTTTTGTAATATGAAGATCTAAAGTAACTTACTTGGCAATGATAATAAATATCTAATCGATGAAAGTGCCTTTCCTTCTTTCCGAGGATTAAATTGACGTCTGATGACACTCAAAAGTTTTTGGTACAAGAAGGACTGCCTATTCGAAAACAGAAAATATAGTACTTGCTATTTCTTTCCGATATTAATAATAGAAGAGATAACAACATTCGCGCAACAAACACGCAATTTTAAAGCACCATTCACGAACGAACAAATCTTCCACTTGTTTATAATACCACCGATCTGTGTCAATCATCAATGGTGCCTTTGAAGCACATGAAAAACTTTAATCAACTTTCAGACTCGGAATATTACCTGCTAGCTGGCTTACATATCGATATATGATCCTGCGGAATCTCAAAAAACTCTCCCACTCCAGGATCTGAAAAGATAATGTTATATACAAATAACACGATGTCATGTTGCGTGATAATCATGTTTCGCGATAAAAAAGTTCTAGACAAGTTGAATTTATCTATAAACGAGCACTCCCCATCAATCGGTAAAATAATACGTAATTTACCTGCTGAATCAAGACTGACGAATTGGAAGGGGAATTTGAGCGCAGTTACGAGCGTAGATTTGGTTTCGGCGAAACTCACAATCTCTATGGGATATTCCTTTAACATTTCTAAAAACTCTTCATGCAATTGTAACAATTGCGGTGATTCTGAAACGAGAATCATAATATCGAGTTGCTTGCGTGTTAATTTGATTCGATGTAGATGGATATGAACCGTTGTACAATTACCTTCGCGTAACTCTTGAACCTCGACCGTCGGCCATACCAACATTTGTGTTGTCTGCTTCAAAGCTGCCACATGAGAGCCTCGATGAGGAGTACTATAAAATACAATAGCTCTGGTATTCTTACAGATGTCGTTCTTGTCCCCAGTTTTCCACTCTAGAAGTAACATGGTTGCATTATATGCAACAGCGATATCGATAACACCACATATGGAGATTTTATTTAAGTATATATACAAGTTTAAAATTTACCCGCAAAAAACTACATGCAAATTCAGCTTACCTTCCACAAGCATTTTTTTAACTAACAATCCACCCATCGAATGACTAACCCATACAAGAGGTCGCTGCCCCACGTTTGCCATTATCAATTTGGTAATGTATTCTTCGCTTCTCTCTTTGATAGTGCTCCTAATAAAATATATTGAACATGATCATCTGCACGTTTAACGTACAAGTCTCTTAAACATGGGAACAATAAAGCGAATATTTCCATGCGGTAAAATGAGATAAAAAAAACTCACTTCATGCTCTCTATTGGGCAGAAAGGAGTCCACATAGATAAGCTTGTGTCATAGTTGATACCCATAATTCGTAACGATGGTATATCCATAGGCAACCAGTCTTTGGGCCAACATTGCGTTTTGGACGCAAGTTCCGGGCCGTTCCTCATGCAGGGATCGTCTCTGAAAATATTGTGCGTGACAATTCATGACCAATTATGATACGTAACAATGTCATGCGCAAACTTATGGACACGAATGATACCCTCTGTAAAAGTAAGGTTCGTAGGGATGGGAATTTGTGTTCTGCGGACAGTCCTCCAAAATCACTTCAAAATCGTGGCCTATTTTCTTCCACTCGCGTAACTGCAGATCGCGAGCTAAATCTTTAAAGAATTCTGGAGGACGATCATCGTCGATCATAGTAGACAGGTAATCCGTAGTTTGACTCGGAGTATTGCCACCTGTAAATTAATATTGGAAAAAAGGTTGCTTTCTCATACAATCACACGCTATACAGACAAATCTACAACCTACAACTCCGAGTGTAGAGATATCCGTGTCACGTTGTCTCCAGGTAACAAAAATTCCACCTAGCAGTCCATGCAGAAATACAACATCCATTTTTGTCGCTGCATGGTTTCTATGTAGAGGATGAAGAAGATAAATACGCCGTGGGTATTTCGCTCCTTCGTTCCCCTCTGCGTCTAAGTTTGCTAATGCACGATAAGCCTGCGCCGATAAACGAATATCGTCGCTACGTGACCAATGTGACAATATGCCGATCCATCCTTATCGAAAGCAGTTTTATTATGTATCATAACAATGTAATAGCATTTATATTATACAGGCAGATTAGCATACGCTTGTCTTACCGGATTCAAAGATATTCTCCAAGTATTCGGAGTGAAGAGACACATTGGATATTATTCTCGCGAGCAATATGCACACTTCTGTATCATCCTTGCAAATTTTTTGTATCGCTGTTAGTATCGGCAAAGCACCGGCATCGACCAAGTCTAAAATTCACAAATTACACAAGCTCAACTTGAAGTTGATATCATTATTTTATAAAATTCCATGGAATAAAGCACAGTATTTCCCTTGACTCACGCTTGCTATATTCTTCTAAAGAGGAATGATGACAAATTGCTTGAACGCAACTCTTGAGCAAAGTGTTGTCCCAGACTGTCACTGGTGCTACTGAAAGGCCCATACTCGTCAAATCGTGATCAAAGATAAAGCCGTCCTAAAGAAGAAAATTATTAGAATTATTAGATTATGCAACATTATTAGAAATAAGGTCGTTTTGCCACATTTTTATAAATGTAACCAACCAGCACTGATTTTTACCACCAGCATTAGTTACTTCAAGAATAACATTGACCCTAATTGCATACATTAATTTATCTCTACAATCATCATCTCCTTGTATCATAATTGCTATCCTTATGTACATCATGTATACTTACTCTTTGCATATCTTTGAAATTTTTACCAAGAAATTGTGTTAAGCAGGGATGCGTTTTATCACACAGTGTATTCAAAACTAACAGCAATGAGTGTACTTTCTCCAGTACATCCTGTAGAATTGAATTATTTTACTTATTACGCCATGAATATATTTCCACAAAATCAGAAAATACTTGTAAAACACGTAAATATGTATTTCTCTTAATAATTTTCTCCCATACATTGTGTGAATATATGTATCGCTTCAACTTTCTCAAAGCTTGTTTATATATACATACGTGTAATTTGTATTGTACATGATAATATGGTGGTTGCAGAAAGAACTGTAAATTAACATTTGGTATTCTTGCAAGGGCAACTGCTGTTTTAACATCCAACATTTGAGCCAAATGACGATATTGCCAATCTAAAAATCATAAATGCACATAATAGTGCATCTAATAATATTTATTCGGATTAAATAGACTTTTCTACAAGTTTTGGTACACATAGAGAAGATCAATTTATCATGTTAAAAGTAAGATAAAAAGTTAAAAGTAAAAATAGATCTACAAAGTATCCATGATATTAAAACATATAAGTATACTTTTTAAGTGAGACAAAGAACCAAGGACAGTTACAGCTTTACATCGTTCGTTCCTATTGCCATGTTGAGCCATGTACAGTAACTTATATGCTAAATTATGACTGTACACCTTCCACCATTTCATTAAAATATCACTAAGGCCTTGCGGCTTATCCAGTGCAGATCTATACAAATTCTCATCCTTTCTGAACATGGAGATATCTAAATCGAGGTAAATCAAGAAAATAGTAGTGTATACATGAAATTTATGGAAACAAAAGAGAAATATATCAAGTGTTATATTGTATTGCGTATTTGAAAATGATTACCCTTAAACTGAGGGTCATCGATGTAAATGTATTGTGGATGCATTTCTTCCAACTTCAGCACATTTGTGTTCACAGCGGACCGAACGATCTGCGATATTTGCCGCAGCTGATACAAGTACCAAAACCCCCTGTAAAATGCATGGTTCTCTCAGAAAATTATATTCCGATAAATTGAAATTTCTCTCTCTCTCTCGAATGATCTGAGTGAATATTGTCAACTTACCCCAACACCACAACGCACGTACTACTAGTTTTCAGGTAATATACATAATTTTTATTGGTTTGCAACCGCATTGTATAGTACAACATGCATTCGTGTATATTCAATAAAAAAGATCAAGCGGAATCAAATTTTGAGCTGACAGAACAGTATTTCGAAACTTTTGAAAGTGTATACATCACAGATGTCTATACTATACTAGATTACTAAAGACTATACTACTCTATACTATATTAGGCTGCGTTCCGAAATTTACTGCCAGTACTGAAATCCTATAATATACGTGACATGAACTATAGATTTTCAGTACTGGCAGTGCATTTCGGAACGTAGCCTTAAGGCCATTCTACAATTGCGTAAGCGTGGTTGTAAATGGTGTAGATGATTACGACAACCAATCAAAATAAAGCAATTAGTAAATAAAACACTCTAATTGGTTAATTCTTACGTTCACGACTACGCTTACGCAATTGTAGAATGGCCTTTAGATTGCTAAAGACCTTAAGATCGTTCTACATTGGCTTGGTTTAAAGGCCAAATCACATTAACGATTGGCGATAGATGATTGACGATTGAAGATCGGAACTTGACCAATTGGAACAAAGCAAGCCAAGGATGAAGCTTGTTGATTCGTTAAAATATAATCTTTAATTGTCAATCGTCAATCGCCAATCGCTAGTGTGATTTGACTTTAAGGTCAAATCACATTAGCGATTGGCAATAAATGATTGACGATTGAAGATTGGAACTTGACTAATTGGAACAAAACAAGCTTGAAGCTTGTTGATTCGTTAAAATCTAATCTTTAATTGTCAATTGTCAATCGCCAATCGCTAGTGTGATTTGGCCTTTACATCGTACACTTGATACGCGTACTAAATAGTAACTTTCTATTAGATAATCTTAATATCGTCGATATATAAACAACTTAATATATTAACAATGGTATATTAAGCTGGTATAATACTCATCAACAAAACGTATTGTATTGATTGAATGCATCGCCGTTGCATTGTCGATATTAAGATTATCTAATAGAAAGTTACTATTTAGTACACGTATCAAGTACACGATGTAAACTAAGCCATTGGTTCAGCAAAGAAAGCTGTTTTGCAATTGTTGTAAAATTCGTGAATCTAATTGGAGCATGCTTTTAATTTTGATTGAATCCAAGAGCATGTACCAATCAAAATCTTGGGTGCCAATGGGTGCGTTCAGAAAACACAACGGTTACTCAACGGTTGAGTAATTAGTCAACGTAATTGGTCTAAAGTTAGGGATCCAACAGTAAGGACCAATAATCATTGACCGCTCACTGATCAGCTATGTTTTCTAAACGCAGCCAATGGTTGCGTTCAGCAGAAAAAGCTGCTTTACAACTGTTGTAAAATTCGTGAATCTGATTAAAATATGCTCTTAATTTTGGTTAAATCCAAGAGCATATACCAATCAGATTTACGAATTTTATATAGTTGCAAAGCGGCTTTCTCTGCTGAACGCAGCCAATTGCAATTCTTAAGGTGCTTTTACATAGGAGCGTCGAGCGTCGAGCGTTAAGCGTTGAGCACATGCGTAGTAATATAGTAATAGTGAGTTGTCGCTGAAACTTAAGATTATTGCCCGTATTCATAGACAGGCCTTATATTTAAGACCTCCTTAAGTTCATCTTCAGATACTCTACGAATCATTTTATTGGCTACAGGCATCTGATACAGACATAAGACAAACTTAAGGAATCCTTAAATATCATGGCTCCTGCACACAGGACGCGATAATGTTTGCCGCGCGGCGGAAGTTCGTCGCGTCCTGTGTGCAGGAGCCATAAGACCTGACTATGGCTGCGTTCCGAAATTCACTGCCAGTACTGAAATTTTATAGTATACGTGACATGAATTATAGATTTTTAGTACTCACAGTGAATTTCGGAACGCAGCCTATGAATACGGGCATATGGCTATGTTCCGAAATTCACTCCAAGTACTGAAATTCTATAGTATACGTGACATGAATTATAGATTTTTAGTACTCACAGTGAATTTCGGAACGCAGCCTATGAATACGGGCATATGGCTATGTTCCGAAATTCACTCCAAGTACTGAAATTCTATAGTATACGTGACATGAATTATAGATTTTTAGTACTCACAGTGAATTTCGGAACGCAGCCTATGAATACGGGCATATGGCTATGTTCCGAAATTCACTCCAAGTACTGAAATTCTATAGTATACGTGACATGAATTATAGATTTTTAGTACTCACAGTGAATTTCGGAACGCAGCCTATGAATACGGGCATATGGCTATGTTCCGAAATTCACTCCAAGTACTGAAATTCTATAGTATACGTGACATGAATTATAGATTTTTAGTACTCACAGTGAATTTCGGAACGCAGCCTATGAATACGGGCATATGGCTATGTTCCGAAATTCACTCCAAGTACTGAAATTCTATAGTATACGTGACATGAATTATAGATTTTTAGTACTCACAGTGAATTTCGGAACGCAGCCTATGAATACGGGCATATGGCTATGTTCCGAAATTCACTCCAAGTA